TTGGTGAGTTTTTTTTGCCTTCCTCTGGATCAACTGTGGGTATAGGATTATAACTTTTTTTATGGATGAACTAGGTCTGCGGTCTCCAAACTTTTGAAACAAAGGGCCAGTTTACTGGCCTTCAAACTTCAGGGGGGTTGGATTGTGGCCAGTGGGAGTAGAAAATGCCCTGGCATCAATGGAAGTAAACAATACCCTAGCCTTGATAGTCAGTGGGAGGAACAGAGCCCCATCGTTGGTGCCAGTGGGGTAATTAGGTGTCCAGTGCCCTGTTTGTCAGTTGGAGGAACAGTGCCCTGTTGCTGGTGTCAGAGGGAGAACAGTGCCCTGTCGTTGGGGTCAGTGGGAGGAACAGTGCCCGTCATTGGGGTCATTGGGAGGAACAGTGCCCCATTGTTGGTGTCAGTGGGAAGAATAGTGTCCCATAGTTGATGTCAGTGGGAAGAATAGCGCCCCATCGTTGGTTTCAATGGAAGGAATAGTCCTGCATATCAGTGGAAGGAAAATGTCCCAAGGGCCGGGTAAAAGCAAGCAAAGGGCCACATCCGGCATGCGGGACGCAGTTTGGAAACCCCTGAACTAGATGGACTTTTGTCTTTTTTTTCAGCCAACTGACTATGTAACTAAATATACAGATAACTATGTAACTAAATAGACAGATATGCATAAGTGTGACACATGCAAGGCAGGGGGAATCCTGGGGAAGCAGATGGGAAGGAGGAAACAAAACTGAGGAGCAAGGCAGCAAGGTAATAGGGAACTGGATACAGGGCAGGAACAAGAGCAAAATCAGGCAGAATGGCAAACAGGATACAAGACAGGAGCAACCAAACACTGACGTAAGGAGCCATAGCAGAAATGGAACTTAAGTAGCCTTCCAGCATGTGTGGCCAGGTGGAGCTGATTGCTGGAACCTGCTGACTGCTGGGAGACACCTGTTGGTGTACACTAAAACCGCAGCTTTCCACCCAGAGATCCACAGCACCACTAGCAGGTGAACCAGGTTGTGACAATAACCTTTTGAAAGTGGGATTCACTTCTGTTTCCAGGGTGGAACGCCGGGCTCAGCTGGAGACCTTTCTCTCCAAATTCAGCCCAAATGCCCTGTCTAGCTCTGATGCCCAGCACTTAGAGGCCCCTCTATCACAAGGGGAGCTTACCAAAGCACTCAAACTTCCATTTTCTCTGCTTCTCCTCAGACTAGGGTCAAACCAATGGCCACCTGTCGGACGCCTTTTGGATTTGCAACGGTACGCATCAGGGGTGTCCCCTCTAACCCATCCTGTGCATTATCACCTTGGAGCCTTTCCTTAGAAAGATATGAGTGGATCCTCTGATTATAGGAATCCCTATGAACGGGAGGGAGCTTAAATTGGTCGCATTTGTGGACGACATCTTATTGTTCTTGACCGCGCCCCGCACTTCTCTGCCTGTCCTACTGCAGGCTCTCGTCCATTTTCAATCTTTGTCTAACCTAAAGATTACCTACTGTCCAGTTTTAAACCTCTTGCTTACGGCCGGAGGAGGTGTTGTACTGTAAACAAGATTTTCCATTTACCTGGTGGAAGGAAGCTATCACCTACTTGGGGATCCAGCTACTGGCTGCCTTGTTCAATCTCTACAGTCAGAATTTTCTTCCTTTTCTATCTTCGATTAATCAGGATCTTCAACGCTGGGATAAACCCTGTTACTCTAGGTTTGACAAGGCATCCATTCTCAAAATTAATATTTTACCACACCTGTTGTATTTATTTCAGACTGTCCCTATCTCCTTTCTGGCTTCTTTCTTTTTGTCTCTGCGAAATATCATGATTACCTTCTTATGGCAAAGGATGTCCCAATTGGTTAAGCCATGCCCTCTTACCCTTCCTAAGCTCAGAGTGGCGTTGGCCTTCCTGATCCTAAGAAATACTACTGGGCCTGCCATCTGACCAGAGTGGCTGATTCACCAATGGGTGAAGCATTGGGTAACCGTGGAGCAGCTGTACTCTCCCGTTTCACTGGGTACCATCCCTTGGCTCCCCTCCTCTGCGGCTTATCAACAGCTCAAGACCCATCCTTTTATCAGCCCTTTTATCTGCACCTACACTGAGTTTTTACCCTAGCATGCAAACAGTTTGCTGTCTCCTCACTGAAGGGCCTGCTTACGCCTCTCCGCTTCAACATGGACTTCCTTCCTGGCATCTCGGGCCAGATGATATGTGGCCCAAATCCAATATGCACGCTGACCATTCTTTGACCAGGCACGTTTCTTAGACAGGACAGTGGTACCTCATTCCCAGACTTCTCAATACCTTTCTGAGCCTATTTCCAGATTTAACATTTCCTGGCTGCCTCAGTGGCAGACAGGGGTCTGTATATGCACCTACTGTTTGAGTCACTCTGTTCATCACATTAACCACAAACACATGTCATCTCTTCTATATATCCCTCCTTGTTCACCTCACAACCATCCAGCGGCCTGAAGCCTCACATGAAATGGGTACGGGATCTTGCCATCTCCCTTACAGATGAGGAATGGGAGGTAGTCCACAACATGGTTCATGAATCATTGAATGTGAGAGTCCAAGAATGAGGCATCAAACTGCAATGTCAGTAGTATTGGACTCCTAGCATGGTACACAAATACTATCTGGCAATAACTGACCAGTATTGGCGCTGTCACGCAGAGGTCGGCTCTTTGCTTCATGTCTGGTGGCAGTTTCAGGCCTTCCCTTGGATTTCACTCCTGGGCAGTATCTTTTTCATTACTGTAGCTTACATAAGCATCAGTACTTCAAGTCATTGGCCATGCACATGGTAAATGCAGCAAGGCTATGTTGGCAAAATGGTTCTCTCGCATTAACAACATTTTTTAAATGGAGGAATAGATTCATATTTCCCAGGACAGGACCTCAAACTTCAATAAGATATGGGTGTGCTGGATATACTATAAGACAATGCAGATTATGCTAAGGCACTCCATGGCCTACCTCCCTTTATCTCTTCTTCATTGCTGTTTGTGGCTGAATTTGAGCCCTGGGGGAGAAGGTGTCTAAGTTTTTCTACATTTTTTATTCTTCTTCTTTCTCTTCCCATCCCTTTATCTCCTCCTCCCCCCTTTTTATTTTATTTTCTCCTACATATCCTCTCCTTATCCTCTGGTTCATTCTTTTGTTTTTCTTTCTATTAAGGGGGCGGCACAGTGGCTTAGTGGTTAACACGTCTGCTTGCAGTAAATGGGTCATGGGTTCAATTCCCAACCATGGCGCCTCATGCATGGAGTTTGCATGTTCTCCCTGTACTTGCGTGGGTTTCCTCTGGGTACTCCAGCTTCCTCCCACACTCCAAAGATATGCTGGTAGGTTAATTGGCTCCTGTCTAAATTGGCCCTAGTATGTGTATGTATGAATGTGAGTGAGGGACCTTAGATTGTACACCCCTTGAGGGTTAGGGACTGATGTGAATGTACAATATATATATGTAAAGTGCTGTGTAAATTGACAGCACTATATAAGTACCTGTAATAAATAAATAATAAATAAATTAATGAGAAGGTTTTTTCTTGTTTTGCTTCCCCGTGGAAATTACCACCATATTGGGGTTCTAACTTTTTTGCTGTTTGGTTCCACTTGATGTGGTGGTCAGTCATAATTTATCAATCTCTGCTCACTAGCTCTAGACTGTTAATGTATAGTATGTGGGGTCACTCACATCTTTTGATTGTTCGGTTCGTCTCATCTCTTACCAATGACCCAAATACAGCTTCTTGGAATGTTATTATTCACTGTGTCATTTTGATTAATGTGCGTTGTATTTCTTGCAATGCTTTTATTCTTCAATAAAGCCTTTATGGAATAAAAAAAAAAGAAGAAGATGCTGCTCCTAATAAACAAAAGGGTGCAAGCCCCTTTGTTAATAAGCAGTGATCAGTTCTCTGTTCTGCCATGTCTGTGACAGGCAGTACAGAGAACAGAGAGCTGGACCTGCCTGCTCTGAATTATCTGCTGTGTCTGCCCTCCTTGGCACAGAGTGGGAGGGAAGAGGGTTGTTCACCCCTGCAAGCTCTATTTAATGTAATCACTGCAGGGGCAGAGAGAGAGAGATGTAAGCTGCCAACAGACAACTCACATCCTGAATGACAAGGCCACACCTAGCGGGAATCTGCAACTGTTTTCTAAATGGAAAAATGCCGTATTCCCTCCGTTAATTAGGGCAGACCCACCCTGCTCTTGTTTCTATTTCACTCTGAAATGGTGGTGCAAATGGCATACATACACCTGAAACAGGTTTTATCTGCTTAGTTAATGTTGCATATGTCACTCCTGACAGTTTCCTGTGCCACTATAATGGCACAGGAAGTTTAGTTACAGTAATTCTCATGATCATGGCTGATGACATTGATTATTCATTTACATTAACTTCCACATCTATATTTGACCAGACTTAACCAGTAACAATGTGAAAAAGGATCAGGGAGCACACAAAGGAGTTGGGTTTATTTTTGGTCTACCAAGGAGACAGTATACCGATAGAGCTGTATGCATTTTTTAAATGGAAAAAAATGTCTCTGTGCTATTAAAAAAAACTTTCTGTGTTTGCACTACTTACACTAGGCAGTTCTGGTTGTGCATCAGACCTTGCAGTAATTTGGTCTTTAAATGTATGAGATCCTTGCTGAAGTGACTACATCTAATCAGATGCTACCTGCTGAGACAAAAAAGAATGGTTTGCAGGCTCCTACCCACTATTCTGAAATATTTTTGGGATATGTGAAGGAATGATGTTTACTACCCATGAATGCTATCTGTTCTAGTATTAGCTGGCATTTTGGAGTGTCTGCTCTTAGGCTAACATTTAAGAGTTTAAATAGCTAACTTTTAAAAGCTTAACGTGGCTGACTGGTTAACTTTAGGGAAAGAATAACACTTATTTTCATTGTTATGGTTTGTTTTGCATCCAGGTGAATTCACTTAATTCAAACACCAGTTGGAAGATTAATCTTTTCATGCAGTTCCGAGATTACATGGAGGATGTCCTAAAGGGGGTAAGATTTCATACTGACATTTTTACGACTGTATTAAAAACCCTCTTCTGATTGATTTGCTGACACTTCTGAAGTTGTACGCATTGCACCGAGCTTTGGTAAGAAGAGCCATAATAACATGAATGGGCCCATGGTTACTATATAATCACCTTGATACCCTTTGTAAAAATATATTTCATAAATATCATGTATTCATAAGCTTGTTAAGATATTACCACAAATGAAAAGTGATTATTCTATTCACATTGCTTCTCTGCCTTTGTTTACCTTGGGAATGAAAGTTGGAACTGCAAAATAGAACTTTGTCAATTTAAGGAATTAGGCTTAATGATTAAAGTCCCATAGCTTCATCTTAATAGGGAGCACTCTAAAATAATGGATTATATGTTTTCCCAGAACCCACATGGATAGGATAGGGGGATTTGTTTAGGTTTCATTTTCTTTAAGCTCATTTGTTTTGGTCCCTGTAGAAGTGTACCTTAAAGTGATTGTAAAGGTTTTATGCATGAAGGTAAAAAACCTTCTTTGTGCAGCAGCGCCCCACCCTCCCTAAAACGTACCTGAGACTCATCTTGATCCAGCGATGTGCACGAGAGCCTCAGCTCCCTGGGTCTCTCCCACCCAGTGAGGAGAGAGGGGGACACACATACAAAAGCAGGTGCTTGCTATGGGGGAACTATGTCCTTTGGGCATCACAAAGGTGAGATTGTGGTGCTTTCAAGTGTACCTTAATGTCATTTTGGGGGGAAGGGGTAGTCTCTCTGTTGTGCGTATTATGAAGAATGCAACAATAGGAGCTGAGACAAGGAAATATGGGTAGGAACACCCTAAACTTTCAAGTGAGCAGGAACAGAGAGGTGGATAAAGAGAGGGAGAGCTTCCTGTTGTAATATTCAAGAGATATAAGAAACCATGGACTGACCCAGTCCACTAGGGTCCACCCATAACTAAAATGGGACTTTTGAATGGACTGACTCTTTGACTCTGATGGGTCTCAGCGCAACAATGAAGTCTTAAAGAAACTAGGGCTTTGACGATGACCAATAACACCTGCCATACATGCTGAACCCCTGTGGCCTGTGAGGACCAAGTAAAAGTTGTCGACTTCATACTGCTGCTGTCCTAGAGGGTATATAACCTTTTAGACAGTTGTCTATAAAGAATAGCAAATGTCAATGTATCTCCTTACTTAAACAATGCAGGTTATTTTTTGAGAAATTATTGTTTTAATGTTTTTCTGTGACGTATTACAACTATTGTAAGCAGACCAAAGGCGACAATTATGTTTCCCGCTTGGTTGAGCTCCATGTTCAAGAACACACAAGCCTCTGCTAAAAGATTAATGGAACAACTGTTGGATTTGACAAGGACTAAATCAGCCTAGGAGACAGAAGTTATTTTACACATAAATATATTTTTTTCTTTAACACGCATAATTACACATAAATGGTACCATAACACAATCCTGACACATCAGTTCAGTACCTTGTAATACTGAAAAGTTTTCAATTTGTTGTTTCTTAATTTTTTTTTTTTATTTATATTTGTCTTTGTACATAGATTGGTCTTTATTATAATGTTGTGTGTATAAATGTACGTTTCTTTAAATCTTTTCTCCAGGGTGATGTGGTACGGCTTTTTCATGCTGAGCAGCAGGAGAAATTTCTTACATGTGATGAGTACAAGTCAAAACTCCATGTTTTTCTACGCACTACTCTGCGGCAGTCAGCCACATCAGCTACTAGCTCCAATGCCCTCTGGGAAGTGGAGGTAAGAGTAACTGTCATCACTCAAGCTGAAACAACAACAGAAAAGTACAATAAAATTCAAAACTAGTTTGAAAATTGGTGATCTTGTTTGAAATGGCAATTCTGTGTTGGTTGAACTCCATATGTTTCAATTGAACTTTTTTTTATAGTTTTATAGAAAGAGTTACTGTTTTCTGTGAAAATTGTGTGTACCAGAACATTCATAAGAGAAAACAACAGCAGAGCTCAGGCATTACTAAATCATAAGAGCATCACTTTAATGTAAAGAGCACACTTATATCTGAAAAGCTCTAATCCAGGTCCAGAGGCAACAAGGGGTGGAAAGGCAATGCCAGAGCAGCAGTCCTGTTTGCGTAATAGGCAGCCAATGTGCATGGTAATAGACCTGCCAGGAAAATCAATGGCCGTATCTCATGCCACTGACAGGAGACTGAGCTGCATCAGGCTAGTGGGTGGGCTGCTATGCGATTTAGGGGCTTATTCATCTGCTTTTATATTTATGATGCTAGTATTTAACTGGTTAGTAAAGGATGAGACCTGAATGTGTTCTGCAGTTAGTATAGTACAGCTGTTTAGTACTGAAACTTTCGGCATTGATCCTAAAAATAAAGGAATGAGAAACTCACAGAAAATTTTGAATATGGTAACTAATGGACTCAATTATGTTCAGATCAATGCTGATCAAGAATAAGTACTGCTGTTTATCAGCTGCAGAACTACACATTTCAGCATGTCAACAATTCAAAAACTCAGAATCTACTGCATTACAATAAATACTGCTTGTTCTGGCCTCTGACCAAGAACAAGCATGTAGTTCGTGAAGTCAGAGGGAAGTCAGAACTTTTGGTCTGAATATTTGCTTCTAAACAAAGAGTCAGGAAGTATCAAAGATTTAAATTTTCCATAACAGCCAGGAAACTAGAGAGAGGATCCCTCTTATTCTACACACACCTACCGGTCAATCGGCTATGCATCATATGCTCACATTTGAAAATCAAATTCTTTTAGCCAATAATAACCAGCACAATCTTACAGCTGGCTCAACCAAATTATAGAAATTATGCAAAACAAATATAATGTGCATATATCTACTTTCTGTCTGCCCGCCCGCAATGTACTGTGAACAGGCGGCAGCTACAGGACCAGTGACGTACCCGTACGTCGCTGGTGTTGTAGCAATACAGGGACACAGTGGAATAAAGATCAGGACCTGGTGGTCATGTGATCATAAATGACAAACAAGCTGGTATGAATCAATCTGGTTCATAACAGCTCTGTTTTTCTTCCTGGTGAGCTGTGATTGGTACACAGCTCCTATATGGTACATGGAGCCAATCACAAGACCCTGTAATATGTGACCAGCTGGAGCCAATCACAGATTACTGTATTTTTTGAACTGTTATGAACTTAACCCACTCATAAGAGTCTAACGCAAACATTGCATTACAGTAGCAAATAATCTTTGCAAAAGTGTAAAAAATAAAAAAAAAAAAAATCTGATCAGAGTAGTACAATGTTACTATGGTATGTTTTTTTTTTAACTACTTGCCACCCATCTGCCCACAATGTGCAGAGCAACATACCCTTATGCTTTCTATTTCTGGTGTGTGTGTGTGCGCGCATGCATGCACCCCCCGCTGCCTCCTATGCCAGTACAGGAAGAAAAGAGAGAACACGGCACTGAGTAAAAGCACTATATTTTACACACATGTTAAATTAGCACATTTAACCCTTTGATTGCCCTTATTAACCCTTTGTACACCTCGTCACCCAGCAAGTGCCATTAGTACAGTGTGAGTATGTAGAATTTTTCACTGATCACTGTATTACTGCCACTAGGGACATCAGATAGCATCATGGTCTGTAAGCTCCTCTCCCAGACAGGTTCAGCTAGCATTAGATTGCCCACACACACTATTGCATTAAAAACATAGCTTGCTGATCACCTCCATTACTAGTATAGTGTTTGTACGGATCAATGTACTAATCACGAACAGAACTATACTAGTGCCTCCTTTATATAGTGTCCCCAAAAATGCAGTTTATACGCACAGCAATACATTGTCACCAACCCAAGTTCAGCTCTGGGCAGACAATGCGCATGGAAACCTATCACGGTTTCTGAATTTAAAACTTTTTTGGACCTAACCCTCAACATGGGCATTACACAAAATAATGAATTGTGGTCATATTGGTCCACAGACCTGATTTATCATATACCCATTATCTCTGCTGTTACATATATGCACAACAAGGAACGTTGCTGGATTTTTGAGTGGTTATACCAGGATGATGCCGGCTGCTACATGCATCCTGGTATCTTTTTTTTCAGCTGGCAGTCCGCTTTCATGTAAAAACAATCCTAGTGGCTGGATCGTTTTTACAAGCAGCAGGAAGGGAGGTCCCCCTGCCTTCCACGGTTTTCTTGGGCTTTCCCGTCCCACCAGGGAACCCAATAATGCAGCCGGCAGTTCTTCTGACTGACAATAGAGCTGATCAGAGACCAGAATGCCTTCAGTCATCTCTATAATCTAAGAGAATGGACGTTATGAGCATTTCATCATTTCCGTTTTGCCTGATATAAACAGCGCCATTTTAAAATTGGGAAAGCAACTGATCACACTGAGATAAGCATCAGATGCTTTAAGGGCAGAGGAGAGATCTAGAGTCTAAAAGACCCCTGATTTCTCAGAAAAGAGTATCTGTCACTGCATATTGCTATCAGAGGGAATATTTACATTCCCTGTGATAACAATAAAAGTGATTTAAAAAAAATGAAAGGGACAGTGTAAAAATTAAAAAAAGCAAAATAAATAATATATAGAAAAAAAAATTCACCCTCATCTCCTTGCTCATGCATTAAGGCAAACGCAAGTGGAGGTTCCATGTCGTTATGTAAACAGAGATTGCACCATGCATGTGAGGTATCACCACGAACATCAGATTGAGGGCAGTAATTATAGCACTTGACCTCCTGTGTAGATATAAAGTGGTGACCTGTAAAGGATTATAAAGCATGTCATGTTTGGTATCCATTTACTTAGCATAACATTATGTTTTATAGTTTGCTAAACAATTGGGCAATATATTGTGTTTTTGTGCATTAACATTCTAAAAAGTGTATTTTTTCTCAAAAAAGTTTGTTTGAAAAATTGCTGCGCAAATACTGTGTGACATAAAAAATTTCAACACCCACCGTTTTATTCTCTAGGGCCTCTGCTTTAAAAAAAAATATGTATAATGTTTGGGGGTTCAGAGTAATTTTCTAGCAAAAAAAAAATGTTTTTTAATGCAAACAAAAAATGTCATAAAAGGTTTGATCTTCAAGTAATTAGAAGAGTGGGTGATGGTAGCAGCTTCTCATATTGGCCCTGGACAGTAGAAGCACCAACCAAATGACCCCTTTTTTGGAAAGTAGACACTCCAACGTACACTATATTGCCAAAAGTATTGGGACACCCCTCCAAATCATTGGATTCAGGTGTTCCAATCACCTCCATGGCCACAGGTGTATAAAATCAAGCACCTAGGCATGCAGACTGCCTCTACAAACATTTGTGAAAGAATGGGTTGCTCTCAGGAGCTCAGTGAATTCAAGTGTGGTACCGTGATAGGTTGCCACCTGTGCAATAAGTCCATCTGTAACATTTCCTTGGTACTAAATATTCTACAGTCAACTGTTAGAGGTATTATAACAAAGTGGAAGCAACTGGGAAAAAACAGCAACTCAGCCACAAAGTGGTAGGCCACATAAAATGACAGAGCGGGGTCAGCACATGCTGAAGCGCACAGTGCGCAGAAGTTGCCAGCTGTCTGCATAGTCAGTAGCTAAACAGCTCTAAACTTCGTGTAGCCTTCAGATTAGTGTGTAGAGAGCTTCATGGAATAGGTTTCCATGGTCGAACAGCTGAATCCAAGTCTTACATCATCAAGTGCAATGCAAAGCGTCAGATTTAGTGGTGTAAAGCACGCCACCACTGAACTCTAGAGCAGTGGAGGCGTGTTCTCTGGAGAGACGAATCACACTTCTCTGTCTGGCAATCCAATGGACATGTCTGGGTTTGGTGGTTGCCAGGAGAACGGTACTTGCCTGACTGCATTGTGCCAAGTGTAAAGTTTGGTGGAAGGGGGGTTATGGTGTGGAGTTGTTTTTCAGGGGTTGGGCTTGGCTCCTTAGTTCCAGTGAAGGGAACTCTTAAGGCAGCAGCATACCAAGACATTTTAGACAATTTCATGCTCCCAACTTTGTGGGAACAGTTTGGGGATGGCCCCTTCCTGTTCCAACATGATTGCGCCCCAATGCACAAAGCAAGTTCCTTAAAGAGATAGATGAGAGAGTTTGGGGTGGAAGAACTTGACTGGCCTGCACAGGGTTTTGACCTCAACCCAATAGAACACCTTTGGGATCAATTAGAGCGGAGACTGAGAGCCAGGCCTTGCCATCCAACATCAGAGCCTGACCTCACAAATGCGCTTCTGGAAGAATGGTCAAACATTCCCATAGACACACTCCTAAACCTTGTGGACAACCTTCCCAGAAGAGTTGAAGCTGTTATAGCTGCAAAGGGTGGGCCAACTCAATATTGAACACTACAGACAAAGACTGGGATGCAATTAAAGTTCATGTGCGCGTAAATACAGGTGTCCCAATACTTTTGGTAGTATAGTGTATATTTTAAGGGGCATGGTGAACAAGAAAAAAAAAAAAGAAAAAACGAAAATATATTTTTTAACATGCCTCTTATCAAATTCTTTGGGTTGTCTGCTTTCCAAAAAGGGATAATTTGGGGGGGGGGGGGGGTGGTGTTTTGTACTATCTATCATTTTAAGGCCTTCGAAACTGTGATAGGTAGTGAAGAAGTGACATGAGGAGATATGCCCTTTGAAAGCTTGGAGGAGGTCATTGGGCCTGTATGTAGCTAGGCTGCAATAATAACCTCTGTGGTATCCCCATACTTGGGAGAAGTAGCAGAATATGTTTTGCGGTGTTATTCCACATATACCCATGGCATTCATGAGCAATATATCATTTAAGTGTCAACTTTGTGTAAAAAAAAAAAAAACTACCGTACTTTTTTTTGTCATTTTCCAAAAATTGGCTACAAAAATAAAATTTTCCATGGACTCAGCAAGCCTCTCAGCAAATTCCTTGGGGTGTCTACTTTCCAAAAAGGGGTCATTTGGTTTTTTTTTTTAGCAGCTCAAGAAATGTTATATGCAATCAGAAAGTAAAAAAAAAAAAAAAAAAAAAAATAAAATATATATATATATATATATATATATATATATAATATATAGTAGATGCTATAACTTGCACTAAAACCAATTATTATACACATAGACAAAGATATGTAGCAGAATACTTTTTGGCCCAAATTTATGACTAACTTTTAAGTATACTGGATATTTTTTTTTTATAACTGAAAGTAGAAAAAAATTTTTTTTTCAAAATGTTCTGTCTTTTTTCATTTATATCACAAAAAAATTAAAAACCCAGTGGTAATCAAATACCACCAAAAGAAAGCTCTATTTGTGAGAAAAAAGTACATAAATTTAGTTTGGGTACAGCATTGCCGAATAGCAAAAAATGGCCTGGTCATTAAGGGGGAGTAAATCTTCCAGAGGACAAATGGACATACAGTTGCAAGAAAAAGTATGTGAAACCCCTTGGGATTACGTGGAGTTTTGCATGAGTTGGGCATAAAATTTGCTCTGAACGTCATCTAAGTCACAACAATAGAAGAACACAGTCTGCTGAACATAATACTACACAAACATTAGATGTTGCCATGGTTTAATTGTACATAACATGTAAACATTCACAGTGCAGGGAGGAAAAAGTATGTGAACCTTTTGACTTATAACTGGTTGACCCTCCTTTGGCAGCAATAACCTGAACCAAATGTTTCCTGTAGTTGCAGATCAGACCTGCGCAACAATCTGGAGTCATTTTTGGTCCACTAATCTTCACAAAACTGTTTCAGTGTAGCAATATTCTTGGGATGTCTGGTGTGAATCGCTCTCTTAAGTCATGCCACAGCATTTCAATCGGGTTGAGGTCAGGACTCTGACTGGGCCACTCCAGAAGGCGTATTCTGTGCTGTTGCAGCCATTGTTTTGTTGAATTATTGTATGCTTTGGGTCATTGTCCTGTTGCATCACCCATCCTCTGCGGAGCTTCATAGACAGATGGTCGTACACGTTTTTCCTGCAAAATGTCTTGATAAAACTTTGGAATTAATTTTCCCATCAATGACAACAATCCATTCAGGCCCTGAGGCAGCAAAGCAGCCCCAAACCATATGCTCCCTCCGCCATGTTTTTACAGTGGGGATGAGGTTTTGATGTTGGTGTGCTGTGCCTTTTTTTCTCCACACATAGTGTTGTGTGTTTTTCCAAACAACTCAATCTTGGTTTCATCTGTCCACAGTATATTTTGCCAGTAGTGATGTGGAACATCCAGCTGCTCTTTTGCAAACTTCAAACGTGCTGCAATATTTTTTTTGGACAGCAATGGCTTCCTCCGTGGTGTCCTCCCATGTACTCCATTTATTGTTTATGTTCTCCTTATTGTAGATGTGTCAACAAAAATGTTAGCATTGCCAGAGATTTCTGTAGGTCTTTAGCTGACACTCTGGGATTCTTCTTTACCTCATGCAGCATTCTGCGCTGTGCTCTTGCAGTCATTTTTACAGAACGACCACCCCTAGGGAGAGTAGCAACAGTGCTAAAAACTTTCTCCATTTGTAGACAGTCTGTCTTACCATGGACACATGAACATCAAGGCTTTTGGAGATACTTTTGTAACCCTTTCCAGCTTCATGCAAGTCAACAATTCTTGATCGTAGGTCTTCTGAAGCTCTTTTCTGCGAGGCATGGTTCACATCAGACAGTGCTTCTTGAAACCAGTAAACCCAAAACAGTCTATTGTTTTTTTAAGGGGTGTTTTTGTTTTTTTTTTTTTGTTTGGTTTAGGAGGGCAGGAGCTGTCAGCAACACATCCAGTATCATCACACTGATTGGAGTCAAGTTGGCTCACTCCTGGCTCCAATTAGCTCTGGGAGAAGTCATTAAGCTAGGGCCTCACATACTTTTTCCTCCCTGCACTGTGAATGTTTACATGTTATGTGCAATTAAACCATGGCAACATCTAATGTTTGTGTAGTATTATGTTTCAGCAGACTGTGTTCTTCTATTGTTGTGACTTAATGATGTTCAGAGACATTTTATGCCAATTCATGCAAAACCCCACGGAATCCCAAGGGGTTCACATACTTTTTCTTGCAACTGTATATATATATATATATATATATATATATATATATTGGGTTCCTTTTCTGTTTTTGGAGTTTGCTAGCCTGCTGCAATCATTGTCTGTTGCAGGGGGCCAAGAGCCAAGATTCTTGTCACATATTTTCAGTTACCCCAGTAAGAATTTGTTAATTAGGCCACCTTCATGTTTTCTCCTTTAATTACCTACAACTCTCCTATAGAAGCCATTTCAATTTCATTGTTTTAGAGACAGGATTAGCCAGCTGTGAGATTGTCTATGTGCTTTCTATTATTGGCTGAAATAATTTGATTTTCAAATGCGAGCATACGATACATAGCTGATGGACCTGTAGGTGTGTATAGACTGGTGGAGACCCTCTTTAGAAAATATGTATTTTGTCACTGCTGAATTTTTTTCTAGTTTCCTGGCTGTTATGGAAAATCAAAATCTTCAATGCATTCTGACTCTCTGTTTAGAAGCAAATATTCAGACCAAAAGTTCTTACTTCCCTCTGACTTCACTAACTGCATGCTTGTTCTAGGTCAGAGACCCAGAAAGTATTTAGGCTAGAGACCTCTAGTTAATTAGCATTTTAAAATGAGATCAGAAATGGCAAGCTGCATATTTCTTTTATTAGAATTTTCCTTTTAAATTAGATGAGCAAGTTGTGTGGCTGAATTTAAGGAGCACAGTTCCCTGTGCAGACATACAAGTTGCAAATAATAAAGGTTATCTCTGCTTTTATCTTTTAAACATATCAGACTGGTTACATAGCTAACATAAAATCTTAAAATACATAGCTGGCCTAACAAATACTTCATTGCACTTTTTTTGGTTGGTGGTATTTTTTCAAGTTTAGTTCTGATCATAAAATTGTATTTGACTATGTTTATGTAAGGGAATTAACTGGCAAAAAATATAATATATGTGGTATAAATGCAAAAATCCTGACTGTCACTAATATTTTGAATTACAAACTCATTTAAAGACGTTCTAAGCTAGTGACACAAATCTTTTAGGATTAGACAACAGTGAGACCAGCAGTACAGGCAGTGGAAAGACCTTCTTGATGTCTTAACGGATTACGTTATGTCTATCTTTTCATACAGGTTGTGCATCATGATCCTTGTAGAGGGGGAGCAGGGCACTGGAATAGTCTTTATCGATTTAAACATCTTGCTACTGGGAATTATTTGGCAGCAGAGGTAAGCTTCAGGCAAAGGTGAACATTATGTAACAGTATTACATATTTCACAAACAAAAAGCCTAAGTCTTTTATTTAGTAAAGAGCAAATCCTGTATGACATATTTGTAAAAACTGGGAGAAAAAAATGTGGTAACAAAACGTTTTTGCTCCATATGACCAGTGGGATGTACTGCTTTTTTTCCCCAAACAATAAAACATGAAACATGAATGGTTATCATGAGCAATAGCTATACAAGTACAATTATGCTGAAGTATATTACATTTATCTGGCTGCTGTATTTACTTTGGAAACTGTTGGCAGATAAATTGTATGTATGATAAAATATATATGCATGTATTCATACTTTTCATATTTTTTTTGTAAACTACAAGTAGCCAGGCTTCATGTAAGGAACCAGTGTCTTCCACTCACCAACTGAACCGTCCTAAGTCATTGTGGCTTAAAGTGGTTGTAAACCTCAGACATGAAATCTGAACAAGACATATCCCCTTAGAGTGTGTGCTTTTCTCAATCCAGAGAACTAAGTATCATTTCTGTCCACTGTCACATTCCTTTGCTATCAGCATGAGTCACGTCTGACAAGTTTTCCTGACACCAAGAGAAAAATGGTGACAGGGGAGGGCACAGTCTGAGATTGACAGACCCAGCTATGTTCCTGTGTGCTGTGTGAAGAGGGGTGTGTCTCTTCCCTCCAATCAGCTCCCAGAGCTCTCCTTACTGTGTTTAACTTCAGCTCCTGCCTCCTGCTTTTCAGAGTGAGAGATCCTGTGTAAATTCTGCACTTTGAATAGATGAATTGGAATGGCACATAAACAGGTACAAGTTATGTAGGAGGATTTGTTTCATCTCAGTGTATCACCTGAGGCCAGTCACTTCACTGGGTATGTGCATGGGCTTACAACTACTTTAAATGTAGACATCCATGATGTCACCAGCTGACAAATACAAAAGTGCATTCTTCCAGTGTCTAAACAAAATGCTGCTCACCTGTCTGTTGCCTGCCGTATCAGCTTTTGACTTGACTTGCTGCTTGTTCTGCCCTTTTATTTGTGTTATGCTTTTGAATTTTGATTTAGTACTTTGTTATGAAGGCCTATCAGTGGTACTTCTACTTAAAGCCTTTTTGACTCATTTTGTCATTCCGTCACAGTAAGCTGACTGGTTTTTCTACTTCTGTTTATTTGCAATTTTTTTCTTTTACACATTAACGGGAATTTATTAAAAATGGAGCAGCCAGAACCTAGAGCAGCTGTGCATGGCAACCGGTCAGCTTCTAGCTTTCATTTTCAAAACTTTACAGAACAAGCTGAAGATAGAAGCTGATTGGACAGCTGCTCCAGATTTTGTCTGCTGAAGTTTTGATAAATTCCTCCTGCTGTATCTTTTATTAAGCATGCACACTTTTCCTGTCATATGTCTTTTGATATTGTGACTTTATGTCTTCTGTGTGACAAAGTGTACAGATGTTTGTGTATATGTACCATATTCATTTAATATAAAACAATATATATTACATATTGAGGCCTACCCCACCACTGCAACCCACAGTCCACTCTTCTTCCCCTTCCCTTCTGTTTTCCAGTTCTCCTCTTCCCCTCCTCCACTTCTTTCCTCAATACCAATCATCTCTATACTCCTTATCCCCATACCTTCTTTTAGCCCACTGTCTGACTGTCATGTGTATAGGGCTGTCAGCCCTACATTTACCCCTCTTCTGCCCCATCCATAAAATGTATGACATTTCAAGTGATGAGTTTGCCTTATGTGGATATGTATTATACTAATCTCAGAATGCCCAGAGCACAGTTTGTCACTTGTGGTCATTGCACCTTACATTCTTTAATATATTTCTACCATTATCCGTTTCATGTCTGAAATATATGATCAACACTCTCCAGCTGTGTCTGTGGGTCAGTAGTGGAAGCTTTCTTCTTGCTGTTGTTATGTACCTACCTGTCTTCGTGTTCTAAATATAAAACAAAATACTATAATGTAATGTGACACTCAACTCATCACTGCAAATGTGTACCCAACTTTATATCACCTTGCATGTATTTTCCACCATATACAGAAGTGACTCTATTCTGCTGACACCCACAACCCATACTGTGGCCTGAAATCCATACGGCACCACCCTCCCTTGCACCACCTCACACTTCAACCCAATCTCTAGACTGAAACCACACATTTTATATATATATATATATATATATATATATATATATATATAGTGAGGAACAGAAGTATTTGAACACCCAGCAATTTTGCAAGTTCTCCCACTTAGAAATCATGGAGGGGTCTGAAATTCACATTGTAGGTGCATTCCCACTCTGAGAGACAGAATTAAAAAAATAAATTCAGGAATTTTTAAAGAATTTATTTGTCTTGCACTGCTGAACATAAGTATTTGAACACCTAAAAAACAGCAAGAATTTTGGCTCTCAAAGACCTGTTACTGTGCCTTTAAAAAGTCCACCTCTACTCCACTCATTAATCTAACTTAGTAGCACCTGTCTGAGCTCTTTAAAGACACCTGTCCACCCCACAGTCAGTCAGACGCCAACTACTACCATAGGCAAGACCAAAGAACTGTCAAAAGACACCAGAGACAAAATTGTGGACCTCCACAAGGCTGGAAAGGGCTACGGGGCAATTGCCAAGCAGCTTGGTGAAAATAGATCAACTGTTGGAGCAATTGTTAGAAAATGGAAGAGGCTAAAGACGACTGTCAGTCTCCCTCGGACTGGGGCTCCATGCAAGATCTCACTTCGTGGGATATCACTGATGATAAGAAAGGTGAGGAATCAGCCCAGAACTACAAGGGAGGAGCTGGTCGATGACATGAAGAGAGCTGGGACCACAGTTTCAAAGGTCACTGTTGGTAGAACACTACGCCGTCATGGTTTCAAATCATGCATTGCACGGAAGGTTCCCCTGCTCAAGTCGTCATATGTCCAGGCCGTCTCAAGTTTGCCAATGACCATCTGGATGATCCAGAGGAGGCATGGGAGAAAGTCATGTGGTCAGATGAGACCAAAGTAGAACTTTTTGGTCTAAACTTCACTTGTCGTGTTTGGAGGAAAAAGAAGGATGAGTTGCATCCCAAGAACACCATCCATACTGTGAAGCATGGGGGTGGTAACATCATGCTTTGCGGGTGCTTTTCTGCAAAGGGGAAGGACGACTGCACTGTATTAAGGAGAGGATGAATGGGGCCATTTATTGTGAGATTTTGAGCATCAACCTCCTTCCCTCAGTCAGAGCATTGAAGATGGGTCATGGCTGGGTCTTCCAACATGACAACGACCCGAAGCACACAGCCAGGATAAACAAGGAGTGGCTCCGTAAGAAGCATATCAAGGTTCTGGAGTGGTCTAGCCAGTCTCCAGACCTAAATCCAATAGAACATCTTTGGAGGGAGCTGAAATTCCGTGTTGCTCAGCGACAGCCCCGAAACCTGACAGATCTAGAGGAGATCTGTGTGGAGGAGTGGGCCGAAATCCCTGTTGCAGTGTGTGCAAACCTGGTCAAGAACTACAGGAAACGTTTGACCTCTGTAATTGCAAACAAAGGCTTCTGTACCAAATATTAACACAGATTTTCTCAGGTGTACAAATACTTATGTATTATGAATTTCAGACCCCCCATGATTTCTAAGTGGGAGAACTTGCAAAATTGCAGGGTGTTCAAATGCTTCTGTTCCTCACTGTAATTACTCCTTCTGTGCATGTTACTAATTTAAAATTGTATTACTATTGTTATTTGGAAACAAACCAATTGTTAGAAGTAGAAGTAAAGTAAACTTTCTAGGCTACTTTGAAAAAACCCAGGGCACAGTATTATGAAGACTATAGAAATATCTTATGGCAAAGCAAAGCTTGATGAGAGAGACCCAGTGATGATGTCACTGTGTCTACATACACGTATATTTACAAAATTAGCTTTTTGATTGAAAAAATGTTAATTGAATATGAATGGGGGAGTGTGTGAGGTGATGAATATGAATTTTGTCTCTGGAGTCTTTTGACATGGTAGTAGTTGGTGTCTGACTGACTGTGGGGTGGACAGGTGTCTTTAAAGAGCTCAGACAGGTGCTACTAAGTTAGATTAATGAGTGGAGTAGAGGTGGACTTTTTAAAGGCACAGTAACAGGTCTTTGAGAGCCAGAATTTTTGCTGTTTCTTAGGTGTTCAAATACTTATGTTCAGCAGTGCAAGACAAATAAATTCTTGAAAAATCATACAATATGATTTCCTGAAATTTTTTTTTAATTCTGTCTCTCAGAGTGGGAATGCACCTACAATGTGAATTTCAGACCCCCCCCCCCCCCCCAGATTTCTAAGTGGGAGAATTTGCAAAATCGCAGGGTGTTCAAATACTTCTGTTCCTCACTGTACATCCTCTTGTCTGTAATTTAATATACTCTACTTTGTGCAATCCAGAAACTGCTGCTCAGCCACTGCGCAACCAGGTACACATATGAATTACAAAAAAACAAGCATCGTCAAGGTCTTTGGCTAGCTACGTTGTAGGTATCATTTTGGTGCAGACATTTAATGACAGCTAACCACAGATGCCTTTGACAAAATGGCCACCAAGTACTAGTGCTAGGGATAAATTTGGGTATCAGAGAGAATCCTTCAGATGAGCAGCCAGTGTTCCAAAATATTCAGTCTCTAAAAACTAATGCCCATAGCAGACATAGTTAGAAAAGCACACCCATAAATGGTGTGAGTCTTGAATGATAATGTCCACAAAAGATGCAAGAAAAAAAGATTCACAGCAGGGAAAACAAATAGATGTGAGAGGTTGGCACACAACAGTGATAAGAGAGAGGAAAGGTTTTTATGATGCATTAAGTCATTCAGGCTTGAAATGAGTTGGGCTATAGATTCAACAAATTGTATTGGGGAGATGACAGTTTGAAGCCAATTGTGATCACTTTCAACATGGTAGTGGAATTGCCACACATTTGAGGAAAAAATTAGGCCGAAGTT